GGGAAAGAGATCCTTCTAAAATACCTGTTGTTAATTGAAAAATATATTAATTCCTGCTAGGTTTTTAAGAGCTCTGACAAAGTATTTTTGTTTTGGCTAAGCACTTTATACAGACATATTATTATTGAAAGGTAAGTCTTTTTCTGAATATGTGTACAATAATATGCAGGATATTCTTATTATTTTATATATTGAGGGCTGATATCAGATTGACAAAAAGGAAGAATGAAAACTATGTTGGCCTTTACACACTACTACCCCTAACACCACCATATTATGTAAGGTATTAATTTACCTTCTTCGCCACTTCGGCTAATAAAAGAGTCTTCCCTGTGCATGGTCCTCCATATATGATAAGAGGGTTAATGTGTCCTATTTTGCTAGGTAGAATGTACTTGTGAACTATGTTTAATGCCTCACATCTATATTCATAAAAAGTGGAGTACGTTTTACATAGCGATGAGTGTTGAAGAACTTCATCGTACAGCAAGTCTGTCTCGGTGTCAAAATTCTGCTGCACTGTTGCTTGGATTATATCTATCATGTCTTCATAGAACTGTTTACCAAGTCCTTCGATGTAATGGTTCTCTACTTCTTGGGAGTAACCCAGTTTCATGTCACAGTGAGTGACGGATGTGTATACTCTCAGATTGGACGATGCAACGATGGTAGGAATAAATTCATCCCTGAGCTTGATCAGTTTCTCATGGGCTTCGGGATCTCGTAGAAACTTCCCGGCTGTATGTACCACATCCATGTATTTTCCCATCTCTGGGATTTTAACAAAACGCTCAATGTTGGCAATTTTCCGAATGTAGCAAACACACTTCTTTAGGAAAGCTGGTGTTTGTTTACCCAAGGCAAAATCAAGTTCATCTTCAATAGCTGAGGATGAAAAGACAACACAGAGTCTCTGTTAACTTTTCTTTATAAACAGTTCAAGAACATCACCCACCCCCAACATGCAGACTCTTAAATGATTTCATCTGTTTTCTGTAAAAAACAGAAAAAGTGCAGAAAAATCACTGGGTGCTTTCATATGACTTTTGGTCTCAAGCAAGCACAATGAACATTTTTTTCCTCTTCAATTATGTAAGAAATGCTGACAGAAATATATTTTCCTGTTTGTGGAAAGGTCAATAGAAAAGATAATAAATGAATATATAGAAATAGTTACTCTGAACTTTACCAGAGGAAAGATATCTCTTTGCTTGGCTGTGTTTCATTTTCCCTTTCTCATACAGCAATTTCACAGCAGTCTTAAAAATCTTCTTAATCTCTTCTGATATATCTTGCCATTTGTTCTCATTCATAGAGTTTGAAGAAGACTCCATCTTTTAAAAATATAGTTAAACAGTAGCTGTAATACACACATCTACAGCTTCAGAAAGTAACAGTCTAATATTCAAGGTTGTAAATAACATAGTAACAGGGAAACACATACACTAAAAATCAACTTTTTGTACTGCAGATAATCATAATGTATTGCATTTTAGAATTATAAAAGTTAGCTACTTTGAGTATTTTCCGAATTCCTACTGTAGGCAGCTAATGCAGTATTTTTCAAGAATATGACCAATAACACCTTTATAGAAAGAGGGTTTTGAGAACCAAGCCTGAAATAATGATAAAAAAGCAGCAGTAATACTGCTAAAATTATTGCCTCTTTAATGAGAAGTAATAATAATGATTTAAACTTGGATCTCAAAACTGAAAATGAGGTTCCTGGTACCTGTAATTAAGCACCTCATATTAGCTACCATATTTGAAAAATATGGGATTATGATGTGTGACATATTACTTTCTTTCATTCATTGCTGTAGTAGCAGTAATCTTACTGTCATCAGAGAGGGACTCTCATATCAATTCAGTAATCCTCTCAGATGGTATTTCGCAGATGCCACGATGGAAGTTTCTCTAAGGCAGCTGGTACTCACTGCTGCATTACTTACTGCAGGTGAAGTTTTCCTGGAGGGTGTAGTAAGAAAAAGAGCAGCCTCCAGGATAAGCTCCCTAGCAACTCTTTCTTGACACATTCAGAGCTGTGTATCTTTTATTACTTTCTGTAAGTTTATGAGATGTAACTATGTGTTAGCTTTAAGTTATGAACATCTTTTTACTTACTCCTGTGTATCAGTAGCTTGACGAAAGGTACAAAGTTTTTTAATAACAAAAAAAGCCAAGCTTTTTTCAAAGGGACATTGTGGGCATTAGAAACCAATGCAAAGTTACAAAACTCACTTTCTCCCTTGTGATGAATACTTTAGAATTAGCCGCATTATACTTTCTCCAACTCATTAAAACTCTTTCGGTATCTATGTTTTTCATGTTTTCAATGTTTTTTCATGCAACAGAGAAAAGATTCTGCTACACCATAACTGAATGCCGTATAATGGTTTAATTTCATTTTCTTGTATCATACAGTATGCACTCAAAATGAAGTGAATACTCTGTTAAGGACTTCATTTTTTGTACACTGAAATCTGTCCTTGGGTATATTGGATGTGTAGGAGGGTAGACCCGAGACCTGGGTAAGATACAATTTTTATTGTCATCAGTTAAAGACAAATGCCTGTTTTAAAAATTATAATTAACAGTGTTCAAAAATCTTCTGTTAGAATACAGTTAGTAAATTAAAAGTATGAGATCTGACTTGGGACAGCAGCTAAGCACTTGTTCGACTGTTAAAGAGCTTCCTTGTATGAGGACAGAAGGGAAAATGTGTATTTCCTCTGCAAATCCTGTTCATTGAAATCTAGCAAAAGCACAAAGCCAGGGCAGGAGCCTGAGCTCTCCCTATTCCAACATCAGGGAAGGGAAGAGAAATCTGTACGATTGTCCCACTAGCTGCAACAGGTCATGAATGACTACAGTCCACTTGCTGTAGCTGTTATCAGAGAGCACGTCAATGCAGGAGTCATGATCCCTCCTGTTCCTTGGTGTTTTGCAGCTGCTCCCTCCACCACGTACGGTAAAGGAGCATCACAAAATCAGTTGCTCAAGTGTGGACAGGGCTGTAGAAGCTAATTCAGAGACAGCAGATGCCTGGCCCTGGGGACTACCTGCCACTGTAACTGATAGAGAACAATTTTGTAAGGAGGTGACTGACTTACCGTATTCTGGTAGTTCTTCAGCATTTCAGATTTTGGTCTGAGGTAATAGGCTGGTGGCACTGCATTCTCATCCCTGCAGTACCACTCTTCTAAAATCCTTGTCTCTAGCTTGGCCTCTACAGCAGCATCCAGGATCATTTCAAATTCTGCTGACTCAACTTCCCCTGGTATTCGGATGTTCCCGTACTTTTCTCCCAATAGGCCCTGTGTATTAGCAGGAAAGTAGGGATTAAATTTTTCTTTTTAGTTAGGCAAAAACCCTCCTCAGGATCTGAATTTCATAAAAATCAATGTGGTAGTAGTTTAATAACTTTGAAATTACTAGGAAGGGAAACAGATGCAGTGTAAGATGAATTACTGTTAAGGGTACTGTACTGAGCTGTATCCTACTATGATGGCTTGGTGAAATTTCAGGTAGATGCACTGTCTTTCATAATATTAACTAGTAATAAAAATACAGAGGCATTCAAAGTAAGTAATTAAAAAACTATCCAATGTACTTAGTGCAGTATTGACTGCTGTGTTATTGAGTCCCATTTGTCACAGGTTGGGATTAATCTCACATGGAAAAGCAAATGCGGAAATCCTTTTCTCTGGAGTCAGGATAAGGATTCTTTACCTCTTGGCTTTATTCTTAGTTTCCACAGTAATGGAATAGAAGATTTTATGTTCTGTTTGATGAAAATTCATATGATTTTACATACAGCTCATATTGGTATTATTAAAGATGTGGCTTATACCAGCAATACCAAGGATCAATGTTGCAAAACCACAAGCTGCTTTGCTGTCTTCTTACATTCACTTCTTGCAAAAAATGCTCAGTGTCTTGCAAAAACTGCTCAGTGTCAGCTGGTCACTGAATAAACAGTGGGGCAAGTGAAAACAGTTTTGACCAAATACTGAATAGAAATGGATCAAACCCCATTTTAGTACTTAAATGCGTCTTTTTCATATAAAGATAAAGGTTTGTGGAAGTCAGTTCTTAAACTGGGGCACAGGAGATATTTCACTTTCAAAAATGAGGACTAAGATATTAGTTGTAATGTTCTGAATACACTTTTTTGAATTTATTTCTGTAGTTTGCTGTCCATAAATATTTTATAAAAATACAATTGTAATGTCCTACTACTTTATAGAAGATAGAGTTGTAGGAAATTACTGCATTCTTCTGACAATTTTTTTCAAATTTGTGACCATCAGATTAATTCTCCATTGAAATCTTGGTCCACAGAAGTCAGCGAGAATTCTCACTTAATTTAAAACAGTATCTTTTAATTTCTTTCCTCATTTAAATGTATTCAGTAAAGATTTTGAGTTAATGAGAAGGAGTACTTAATGTGGAGAGGAACCAACAGTATTAGCATCTTGATTTGAATCAGAAAGATCTCTTCGTAAAGTACTGCTAATGCAAATACAGTAGTACCCTAAAAATGTAGATGACCTTGTTTGTAAATAATAAAAATCTAAATATTCATTATTTTTAAACCACTCATCATAATGAGAAGCTCTTTTAAACTCTTCCAGCTGTAACTAAACCCTGAAAATCAATAGCTGCTGATGATGAAGCCTGCTTCACTGATTATAAAAGTGTGAAGCTGCAGACCACTTTTCTAAATCCAGTTGTGTTGGCAGAATGTACTCAAGCAGTTCATCACGCTAGATGCTGTAGCCTCAGAGCAGAGATGTCAGAGCAGTGCATACAAACACCTCCTAACCTTTTTCAGGCAAAACCACATTGGTTAGCTCAGACCACAGTTCACACTGTGTAAACTAACCTGGCTGATTTTTGCCTGGAGCACATTAGGAAGAGCTCACATGAGCTACAGTGCTGGCTCTGATGGCGAGCGCTTGGCATCTTCCAACAGAGGGGTAGTGGCAAAGAGCTGGTGGACAGGAACAAGTCATTGTCTGTCCACTGCTTAGGAGAAATGAAGGAATGTAGGAATTGTGATAGTTCATACAGTCCAGGTGCCAGTCTCTTACAAGTCCCAGCACCCAAGTCCTTCAAGAAGCTGCTCCAATAGAAAGGCATTAGGGGAAAGATGGGTTTGCCTGACTGCCCACTGAGATCCCACAGTAGCATCATTCAGGGTGCACATCAAGGAGTCAGGAGAAAGGAACAAATGTGTTCAGTAACTAGAATTAAATAATAATAATTTTAATGAAATTATCCAGTATTTTTATTACGTTTATTCATTTTTTCTATGTGATCATTCTAACGGCTCCCCTCATAGAGCTATGTTGCTTCACATAATGAGATAACTGGGGAAAAATGTCTAAGTTTTTACTGTTCTGATCTATTCATAGAGCCCTATAATTTTGTAATTCTGAAGCGGCAGAGGTTAAACAAAATATAATATTATTTTCCTTCTTTATTCAAGTGAGGTTAATAACTCATATCATGCAGAATTGCAAGCCTTTGCACATTCAGATTGATGTAGAAATCTCATAAATTTCTCTCAGAGGAGCTTTGCTATGCAAATTTTGCAATTACCTTGTATAGCAATTATTACTTGAAATTCATTAGGCTACACTTTTTCTGAGTTTAAGTAAGTCCAGTGGATTTAATAGACAGTTGCCCAAGCAAAGATCAATAGCTGGGCCCTTCATTAACTATCCTAAAATGTCAACATTAAAATGTCTGGGTTTAATGTACTGCATTTAATCAACTAAATTTGTTTTGGAATTCTGTGTACTTTTTCTGCTTCTCTGGTACAGTTTGTGCTGTTCTCTCTCCACTGTACTATAGGTAAATAACAAATGGCAGTACTTTAAAATGAAAAGACAATTTTTTTTTTCTTGTATCTTATCTGTCATTGCAACAGACATTATGTAAATAATATTGTATTAGGTATCACCCTCCTGGCTACTTGAGCAAAACACAATAAAAAGGAACTTTGACATGATCAAAATACTAGAATCACTGTTGATGACTGTATCACGAACTTTTAAATAAAGTGGATGCCTATGCAAGTATTCTTTGAAAGCCTTCACTTTTTTACAAATCAGACGTTAAACAGCAGAGGACATCATACATTTATCATGGTGTATCTTTGTCCTATAGATGGCATTGGTAATATTTGGCTGGAAGTCTATCATTAGTTGAGGGAAGAACAGACATATATAGAAAAGGAATCACACAAACAGAATAGTGTCCTCCATTTGTGATGATGGCAGTGAGCATCCATAAAGCTTAATAAACAACAAAATAAGCCTTGTATCATTTTGTTTTGAGGTATTTCTCCTCTTCTTGTTTGGTTGTGGTTTATGGAAAAGTTTTAAGGTTAATCTTAAAAGATGACACATGCATAGTGCTAGGAAGAAAAGGAATGAGGAAGTGTGGAGGAAAGAGAAGTGTGAGCGAATACACATTGCACTGCAAGGTGAAAACTGAGTCTAGCTTGTTATTGCTGACATCCAGTGTTTAGGAGAGTGTGAACCTAACAAACAGCTGCACTAAGAAAGGAACACATCAGTTGAACATCATGTAAGGATCTAAATGTGCCAAAACATTTAGGTTTAGAACTTAAGAAGTGGACCATGGCAAAAAGGAAGCTGCAGAGGCCATGCCAGCACCCCACTGCCACGTATTTTTTTCCCTAAGAACTGCTCAGGGAACAGCAGGCAGCACGGTGCCAATCAGTCTTCTGTAACTGTGCCCACTGCACACCAGAAATCTATTGTAGGGGTTGTGGTAGAAGGCCTTCATACAAGCTCCATGAGTTGGCCAGGCTCAGAGCAGATCTCTGAAATTTGTCAGTGTTTAACTTGGGAATACTGCTTCACGTGGCTGGGGTGAGCAAGGGCTCCATGTTTTAGCCAAAACTTAGGTATTTCTGCAATTAAAGCAAAGTTAAGGGGCAGCTGAACAGAGATTCTGAGGATACCTGTGGCAGCTACTTGGTGAATACATGCATTTAGAAAGGCAATTAAATGAGTTAGCATCTTTGATGTTCTAATACCATAGAATTGACAAGTAAACAAAGAGAAATAGAAATAGGAACAGGATACGGAATAAAAAGAACAGCACCGGAATGAAGAAGGGAATTGATTACACAAGTAGAACCAGCAAATCATAAATACTGTGCTGAGCAGGTGTATTGTTTAGGGCAGGGCAATCCCAGGCACTGCACTGCAGCTGTGTTCCTCCTAGTGCCCCAACAGAAGTTAGCTGAGGTTTTGGTATTAGTACCTGACTCTGTGTAGCCCTTTGAAAAAATATTCTGGTAAAATTTTCTATGTGGTAGAAACTCTTGAAGGAGTCATTCCCGTGCTTTCTGATAACTCCAGACTAGCCTCAATCTACAGCCGAGTTTCACTGACTATTTAACTGAGGTATTGAAACACAACTCCTTTTCATTTTTCTGGAGAGGACAGAAGTAACTGACACTTTTTCTAAAGGACTGTGATATCACAACCCAAGGCTGGAAGCAGGAAGCATGGTGAGTGAGTGCACCTGATTTCTCCTGAGAGACTGATGCTTGAATGCTGGGTTACAAACACACCAGGTTTCTGGGGAGCAGTTCTTCACCTAAACACACCTTCCTCTAGATACACTGCATGTTTCCCACTAACAGTGGTCGCTAGTAAAAAAAAAACAACAAAAAACCCCCATGTTGCTGGAATCTTAATAAACTATTTGTTTGTAAGGCTACATGACAGCCTTAGCAGGGATGCATTTGCATGCACGGGCTGTGAAAACTACACCTTCCCATGCGAGGCTTGCAAGTACCTCCTTCTAGCTGGTACCAGGGAATAGCCACCTCTCCTTCACTCTTTTGGTGTCATTATGGTTAAATTTATAGCTGGCTGTATAAGTGTAATCTATCCGGGTACCACAAAAACACTCAAACCTTTAGAGGCCTAAATAAGAAGCTCTGAACTGCACTTTCCTCCAGGGGCTTCAGTGTCTGAACTGTATCTATGCCAGAGGCTTGCAGCAGCCTCTGGAAATATCTGCCCTGTCTCCATATTCCCTATGCATTCAAGTAAATGCAGATTTCTTCATAGAAAAATGAAAAAAAAAAAAAAAGCAGCAACAGAATTGAAAAAAAATACAATTTCTCACTATTTTCATGTTGTTTCATACTAATTCTGCAAATAACATTTAACGTTGTTTCAGGCCTTTATGAAAAATATCACAGTACTCTACAGTAATAAACTAAAAGTTCAATTTGTGGTAACAACATTACAGCATTTTGATG